TCGGGAAGGAATTCTTCCCTGGGAGGGTGAGGAGGGGCTGGGATGGAATTCCCAGAGAAACTGTGGCTACCCCATCCCTGGAAGTGTTCCAGGCCATGTTGGAGCAACCTGGGATGGTGGGAGGTGTCCCTGCCTATGGGCAGGGGGTTGGAACTCCATGACCTTTAAAGTTCCCTTCCAGTCCCAAACCATTCCACGACTTGGTGACTGGAGGAATTGAAACTTTGGAGGTGAGGGAAGAAGCGAGAGAGGAAAGACAACAGAGTAACAAAATGTTTTTCCATCACAGTTTTCCCATCCCGGGATTTCCTGGCTCCCACCAAATTCCTCAGGGCAGTGCCCAAACCGCCGCCTGACCTTGGACACTTCCAGGGATGGGGTAGCCACAGTTTCTCTGGGAATTCCATCCCAGCCCCTCCTCACCCTCCCAGGGAAGAATTCCTTCCCGATATCCCATCTAACCCCGCCCTGTGACACTTTTGTCCCCCAGGATGTGTGGACACATCCAGCCCCTCATGGATAGAGCCCCACATCCCCAAACACGACCCCCAACACCAACCATGTCCCCAAAGCAGCTCCTTCCCACCAGGAAAAGAGCCACAATCCCACCCCCTCCCCAGACAACACCAGCACAAGTCAATCCTTTCCCTCTTCCCAAAATTACTAAGCCGGGAATTCGCCGGATCCATAATTAACACCTTTTTTTGCCCGAGCTGCCACTAATCAACCCAGAAGCTCATCAGGCAAGAAACACAGGTCCCAAATCGTGGTTGTCTCCCCCTCCTCCTCCTTCTCCTCCTCCTCCATCCCAAACCAGGCTGGCACCTGGAAAACTCTATTCCCGGCGGTAATTGGATGGCGCATTCAAGCCGGAGCGGCTCTTTGGGAAGCGCTCCCGGCATTAACCACCTCCTCAAAGAGCCTCTCGGCAGAGCCGCGCTCTCTATTATGACTTGCTTGCCGAGGGGTTTTGTGTAGATAATCATGTTATTTAGCCGGGATGTTGGTTTAATTCCCTTCATTACAGGCTCCCGGGGTTGTAATTTTTCCCTCTCCGCGTGATGAATTCCCGGTGGCACATTTCACTCAAATCAAACACTCCAGGCTTTTATTACAAACAATACCCCGGCGTCCCCCGTTATCAGCCCGGCGCACGCGTCCCCCCCCTCCCCGCCGCGATCCGGAGGTCACTCCTAATGACTAATCGATCTCATTAGCTTTCCTAATTAAAAACTTTACTACCGCAGTGGAAGACAAAGTACAAAAAAACTGCTGGCATCATATTCGGGGGGGATATGAGCCTCGTTTATCAGCCGGGGCCCAGCCTTGCTGAGCTCGGGGTTTCTTCGGAGAAGCGAATCCCGAGCGCAGAATGCCAGAATCCCGGAATGAACCGGGTTGGAAAAGACCCCCGAGATCATCGAGTCCAACCCATGCCCCAACCCCACCTTGGCACCCAGCCCATGGCACCGAGTGCCACGTCCAGGCTCTGCTTCAACACCCCCAGGGACGGCAACTCCACCCCCTCCCTGGGCAGCCCATTCCAAGGTCTGATTTCTCTCTCTGGAAAGAATTTCTTCCCAATATCCAACCTAAACCTCCCCTGGCACAGCTGGAGACCGAG